TGCTGATGAGGCTAAATATATGTTCAACTGTATAAGTGTATAGTGTCAGTCTGTAGCCTGATGTGGTGGACACCTGTAATCCCAGTACTCAAGGAAATCAAAGGCAAAAGGATCAGGAGTGAAGGTCATCCTCAACTACTTAGAAAGTTTGAGGCCAGCCTTGGCTATATGAGACCTTGTCTCAAAAGAAAGCAAAGAAGAGAAAGATAATTTCAGTTTGTAGTGGTGAATTTTTTTCTTAACTCTAAAATTTGAACCTCTGTGGCCAGTGCCAGAGCCACGGGCCTCTATCCTGAGGAGTTCCTCCACTTAATGTGGTGCTGAGCAGAAGGAAACCATGCTTCCCCAAATGACAGGGACACCCCTGCATAACTTCTATGAGCAAACAATCCCAGCAAAGGAAAAGAGGGGCTGGCCTGATGTTGGCCCATTCCTAATCCTCACACCCTCTGTCTCTGCCCATCACTCCTTGTGGTTTGAGTTCTCGTCTGCTCCAAGCTACTGGGACATGAAATAAGAAGATGCTTTTCAAACTCTTTAATTAAAGCAAGTCCATGCAATCATTGCCAGAGAGCCACATCCACCCACCTAGGTGATAACCTGCATCTGTGGTCCAAACTCAAACACACCATGACTAAGGTTTCCCTCCTTTGCAGTCAGGTGTGTGGCCACACTTAGAAATACCCTCACTCCATGTCCCTGTTTTCTAGCTCTCAATCATTCATTCATTTCTTTAGTGTGCGTGTGTGTGTGTGTGTTGTATGTATGTGTATGCATGTACACATGTAGAGAGGCCAGGGATCAATGTCAGGTTTGTGTGTGTGTGTGTTGTATGTACATGTATGGATGTACACATGTAGAGAGGCCAGGGATCAATGTCAGGTGTGCGTGTGTGTGTGTGTGTGTGTGTGTGTGTGTGTTGAGAGAGAGAGAGAGGATGTACACATGTACACATGTAGAGAGGCCAGGGATCAATGTCAGGTGTCTTCCTCTATTGCTCTCCACCTCATTTTTTGAAATGGAGTTTCTCACTGAACCCGGAAATCTCCATTTTGGCAAGACTGGCTTGCTTAGCAAGTCCCTGGGATCTGCCTGTCTCCCCAGTGTTGGGGTTACAGGCATACACCACCATGTCTGTCTTTCTACATGAATGCTAGGAATCCAAACCCATGTCTTTATGTTTGTATGGCAAGCACTTTAGCCACTGACTCATCTTCAAGCTTCTAAACAAGACATTTTTTAGGGAGTTGCTAGAACCTAATGTGATTGGAATGATTTTTAAATAGACCTTTATGAGTTAGACATGGGAACATACCTATCTGTGATGGTAGCACTCAGGAGGCTGAGGCAGGAGGATCATGAATTTGAAATCAGTCTTTACTACATAATAAGTTCAAAGCCAACCTAGGCAAGCTGCATAACAAGACATTCAAAACAACAGCAAGCAAAGTATTTTATGGGCAGCAAGGAAATTATTTTTGCTACTGGTTCTAAGAAGTCCAATTCTACCATCTAATTAGCGTTGGGATGGAGGGTAGTTTGCTTGAACTTCTGTATCTCAGTTTCCTTGTCTGTAAAAGGGGGGCAGTCATCTATCTTGCGAGGACTAAGCAAGACAAGGTCAATGCAAACTAGGGGTAGTTCCTAAAATACATGTGGCAGCCAAGAAACTCGAGGTCACTTTTGTCCCCTACTTCCATCTTCCCTTATACCCAGAATAGCAGTATCATCCTTGACTTATTTTGACATGGAAGGTTTCAGGGCAGGACCTTGAAATAGTCAACCAACCTCAAAAAAGCACAAAGAATTTAATCACAAACGCATGAAGATGGCATCCATTGGTTCATCATTCCGTGCACCACTAACCGTCTTTGAACTCTGGTTAGAATCAGCAGGCTGGTCCTAGAATCTGGGTTCTAGTTGCACATGTTGCTCCTAGAAAGATTACAAGCCTTAAAGATCTGTTCTAAAATGTAGAGTTCCAGGGAACTTTCTGGAAACTGTTTATCCTAGGTACCTCCATACCTTTGCAGGAGAGGTCCTGTATTTTTGCTTAGGCTGTAGAATTGGATCTTTTCCCAGGTGAATGCTTTACTGAACACAAATGTAAGTTATCTGCTAGTTGTTCAGGCATCCACCTCTGACGTCATCTGTGGCCCATCCATTCCCCATTCCCCACCTCTTAGCTACATGGGCCCAGCCACATCCGCCTCACATCCCATGCTGCTCAGCCTCACTGACTCCTTTCCAGAGCTGTTCCGGGAGTTTTCTAGACTGTCCTTTAGCATCTTTAGGTGTGTTCTACTCACTCTGAGGAGCTGTAGGAAAACATAGGGTTTCAGGCCCAGTAAACCTGGGACTACAGCCCCTTCTCAGATGCAATTGCAGTGAAAATAGAATCAACCAACAAAACCAAGTAAGATGCTATTGAACTTTGCTTCAATTTGGTGTCCTGGCCTATTAGCCAGACTGCTCCATTCTCAGGGCATCAAAGTTCATAGGACCCATCTGGAGAACACTGTCTGCCACAGTCTGTATGTTGGCTGCCTCCCTTCACCTCTAAAGAAATCTTTGGTCCAAACATGGGTCATTGAGTCATCCTTATAATCATGTGATATGCATCCTTTAAAAAGGATACAGGGCTGACATCACCCAGGGTACACAGGGGTGCTGAACACAGGGGTGGCAGTGCAGTGTGAGAGCCAAGCAGTTTGGCCTGTGTTCACTTACGCTGATAAATACTCAACTGCCCCCAAGTGCCAGCCATGTCTGCCTCTGTGGAGGGGGGCTGGGTATCTGGAAAGAGTAGAAGCAAGCTCTCTTCTGGGTGCTTCCTGAAATATTTAGAACTTTCTACCATCTTAAACACAATAGGACTCCAGTCCCAGCTCTTCCAGACTTCACACAGAATAGTGTGAATTCCTTGGCTCTGTGCTCAGGCCCTCTGAGTTGGCCTCATCTGCTTGCCCTTGTTCCCCTTTAGGCCTCTCTCGGTTCCCTGCACCATGCCCCCATACTCCCTGCAGTGAATGCAGAGCAGGGGGACTTGGCTGTAGGTGCCGCCCTTCCCTCCAGTTCTCAGCCTTATTCTCTTGGGGCAGCCCACCCCTAGATAGCATGCTGGCCCTGGATACACAACTACCAAACAGCTTTACTCCTGCTGCTAACTCTCAGTAGGTTAGAACCTGTTCTACATTAATTTCTGTTGTGATAAAATACCCTGACAGAAAGCACCTTAGAGAAGAGTTTCTATTCGATAATCTCAGAGCAAAAGAGCTTTGGTCATCAGGACTCCATGAAAGCAGAGGGTTATGCCTGAAAGTGTAGATGATTTCCCACCTACCAACTGGCTTCTAAAAACATGTGGAGGATGAGTAACTGTCTTCCATATGCTATGAAGAAGATGGTTTAGCACTAGCAAGGTAGAATAGAAAAGTCCTACCTGTTGACAATGACTGGACTGCGCCTACACTATAAGATGAAAGCAGTAAACCTCCAGCTCACAAGAGTGATTGTGAGATGTGTGATGTATGGCAGGCAGGCCTTTGTCCAGTGTGGAACACCACCCCAGCACCAGCTGACACTCACGGTTAACTCTTGTTTGCTGTTGCAGCGGAGGGTCCAGGATGTCATCAGCCCCATCGTGTTTGAAGCTGCCTACAGCCTCGGTGTACATGTCACTGGTGAGGAGGAGCGGGAGCTGCCGGCTCTGACTCCAGTGCTCCGCTGGAAGAAAGGACAAAAGATCGCCCAGAAGAATCAGGTTAGAACCTGTTCTACGTTAATTTCTGTTGCTGTGATAAAATACTCTGACAGAAAGCACCTTAGAGGAGAGTTTCTATATTACAATGCTAGGTTATAGCCACCTTTCAGGGAAGTCACATGGCAGGAGCTTGAGGCAGCTGGTCACATCTCATCCATAGTCAAGAGCAGAGAATGAATGCTTGAACGCTTAGTGCTCAGCTGGGTTTCTCTACTCTTATGCGGCCCAGAGCCCCAAACCGGGAAATGGTGCCATGCGCTTTCAGGCTGAGTCTTTCTACATTAATTGAGGCAAGCAAGACAGCCCCTGATAACACGCCCAGGCCAACCTGCTCTGGACAATCCCTCATTGAGACTGCCTTCCAGGTGATTCTAGGCTGTGGCAAGTTGACAATCAGAATTAACCATCACAGAACATGGAAGTTCACAACGGGGCTCAAATTGCCAAGTGCACACAACAGAAATAATGGCCAGGGATCATGACTGGTACTTATATTTGTTCTGGGCTTCCTCTTTCTGATCTGCAAAATGATGAAATTAATGCTCTAGGTTCCTTCCAGGCACCATGGGCTTTAAAACACATTGAGATTATTCTCAAGCTGTTGGAAAATAGTAATTAATAACTTAAGGTCATGAGCTGATCAGTTGACTCTCAGACTTGCTTATTATTTTTTTAGACTGTTTATAGAGCTTAGAAGGGTTTGCACTGGCTGCTCAATAAGTGATTTTGGGGTAAGGAATAAGAGAGTAAAATAAAGAAGCAAGACCTGCAGCTTGCTGAATTGATGGCTGAGTGAAAGATATCCAAGGCAGCCCCACCAGCTCAGCTCTCAGGCCTGCGCAGGCCACTAGGACCCTTGCATGCTCCTAGACCTGCTAGCTCTCTCAGACATGCCCTGAATAGTTCATCTGTCAACTCTCAGCAGAGAAGCTTCCTTATACAGCATATGACGATTAACACACAAACCCACAGCTGGCCAACATGCGGAGAATAAGAACAGGAAACATTTGAGGGCTTGAGCTAGACTGGTGGGCAGGGTTTCAGCAAAGCTGTGGAGCCACTTGCTGGCCCAGTTCCCATGGTTCTTCAGACCACTGTGAGCAGAGGGAGAACTAGCAGATCTAAGGCCTACACCTTTTGAATTAGCGGAGTGATAGCAGGGAAGGCTTGGGCTTTGAAATGTTCGTCCAGGTATTCCAGTGAGTCATAAGAATCATTCCAAAGCATTCCGTTTTTCTCACAGGGTCCTTTCCACATTGCCTTGAGTCCAGTTCCCAAAAAGCAGAGCCTAAAACAGGGGCTGAGGAACATGTGGTTGAATGAAGCTTGTTCTTAGGGGAAAGATATGGTCTCCACTAAAGTCTAGCCATGGGAGTCAGAAACATAAACAGCTACAGGTCCTCAACTTGAGAAGAGGATGCTGTCCTTTCATACCTCATGTTAGTCAGCCATTGGTTCCTTGTGGTGTGTGAAAAGGGATGGTGAGAAGGAGCCACTGCCACCAACTACAGAAAGGCCCACAGCTGTTAGGGCCCACAGCTCAGACACACAACCTGGGCAAGGCTGCCTTTTGTTTTAAGACATGAGCTTTGTTTGAAATCACAAGTGTCCTTGGAGGGTGGCCTGTAAGTCCTTCTAGCCACTTAGGCTTGGAACAGGTACGGGGGGGATGAGAGAAAAGATAGAAGGACACAGAGTACCTAAGTGGTGGGACAGAGTGGAGGGCTGGCCTTGGGGTGAGGTAGAAAAGAGGCAGGGAGCAGAGGAGACAGGGCAAGATGGCTTCTATGTTGAAAATTACATACCAGTGCCCTCCGCTGACAGTGAAACGGGAGAAGAAGAAACCCTTACTTCAAGCATTTGAAATCCCCAGTATAAGAGCTAGCCTCCCCTGCCAGCCACCTGAACACATCTGTGGACCTATCAGTCAGTCAGTCTACCCTAAAATACGAATTGGCAACTAAGGAAAACTAATATTGGAGGAAACACGGTATATGGAAAAAAATAAAATAAACAGAATAACTGCCTTAGAAGGCAAAAGTTTATTCAGGGAATACAAGAGATTACAAGTTTTTATTTTGTTTTTCAAGATAGGGTCTTGCCTCAAGGAATAAGATGATCAAGGAATAAAATGGTCAAGGATGATTCCCAGCATCAGTCTTGTGCCTCCACGTGTGTGGATACTCCTACCCACTTGTGCCCATACACATACAAACATGTATACACATAAATATGAAATGGACCAAGGAAAAAAAAAGAAATAAATTCTTGGACCTACCAAATCAGAAGCACATGAGTTCAGCCCTGTAACATGTGTTTCAACAAGCTGGAAAATGTGGCTAAAGTTTGAGACCCACTGCAGTAAAGGAGTAAAGAGTAGTGATTTGCCTTCAAATTTAGAAAGGAGAAGGAGAGGGAGCCATTGTATGAGATAATTCTTACCTGTCTTGGCAGGAATTCAGCACGACAAGGCTTTGATTTGGTAAATGAAGTCACATCAGCATGTTCTCTAGAGATTCCGTATAACCACCAAAATAAGCATCAGCAGACACAGGTAGTCGTGGTCTCCCCTTAAGAGAAGTGCTCCCCTTGAGGAAGACTCAGCATGGACGGCCTGTGGCAGAGAAAGGGGGACTATAGTTTTTCAACCTTGTCGTTCTTTGGTTGAAATTTAAACAAAAGAAAAATAATGGTTCTTAGATTGGGGAGATTGCCCAGGAGCCCCCAAACACTTTCCAGGAGAGTAATTTTTCCTCACTATCCTTTTCCTGATTATGAAAAACAAAAAGGGATCGTTTTAATAATATTCAGCCACAATTCCTCCATGTGCCTTCCAGATGTTGGCTCAGTTTTAAAGGAAGAACAGTGGAGAGCTAGGTTCACTCCAGAAAGCAGAGCCGATTTTAACCAGAACTCAGCAGCCAGCTCTGTCACCACAGGCTCAAATAATACACAAACAGTACATGAAACCCTCCTCACTGCTCCGTCCTCCCTGCTACCCTACCCTTCCAGGCCAGGCCATGAGGTTTATCACCAAGACTGTGTATCACACCTGTGTCCCTGAATAACCCCCGTCTACAACTTTCTTCTTGAAAAAGTCCACAAGATCCTGCCAGATGGTGCCCCTGATTCTCTCTGTGCTGCACTCCAGCCACCCTCAAACTTACCAAACCTGTCTAGACTTGGCTCCTGCTGACCTGTCTTCTATAGTTTTTCACTCTGCTTTCCTCAAGGCCAGTCTTCATGTTTTAGGTTCTAGGCTGAATGTTACCACTTCAGAGAACCTTCTCTGGGTTCCCAGGACTCCGCTGCCTGTCTGCTCTTCCTATGACCTCTGCTGCAGTGTATTTTGTCCAGTTTCTTATGTGTCTCTGTCTCTACAATGAAGCCCAGCAAACACAGAGCTCTGTTCTCTCGTTTGCACGTGTTCCCCAACACCTAACACAATGCCCGTCCTGGAGTGTCTAGTAAATGTAACTCCATTGAAAGAGCCCTTCCTTTTGAAGGAACAAAAGTCTAGGGCATTCTGCAAAGGTTGGGCAGTGCATCAGAGCTTCCTCCTGGGCAGATTCAGCAAGGCTGTATAATTAAACAGAATGTGCTCTGAGGTCCCTCTAGGAATGCTCCTTGGCCAGTGTACACTGTGTGATTTATAGTGATTTCCACCAAAGGATATGTGTGCATATGAGTCTGATTTTCAAAACAGAAAGTAGAGAAAATACAGATGGCAAAAAAAAAGACGTGGACTACCTTGTTTATCACAGGTATTTTGCCATGGCAATAAAAAGCTGACTGACACAGAAAGAGAGCAATGCTGGGGGTGATAGAGCTCAGCTTAGAGTATTTGCTCTATGAGTATGAGGCCCTGGGTTCCATCCCTAGCACCATATAAACCAAGAATAATGGCACAGGTCTGTAATCCCAGCCCTTAGGAGGTGGAGGCAGGAGGATCAGGAGTTCAAGGCCAGCTTGAGCTATGTGAGATCAAGTCTAAAAACAAAAACAAAAACCCCAACAATGCTACCTGACCTGTTTTAAATACTAGGCAACTAGTCTTTTCGTTCTTCTGTCTGGCCATAGCTAAAGAGGAGCTGAAATTCCTGTGACCACCCTGCACTCCTATAATGTGCCCCATGAAAGGCAATATTTGGTTTTAAAAAAGAAAATTAGGAAGGAGAAGTCTATTCTCTGGTTAGAGCAATTATACAGCTTTTTTGAATACTGAATGCCATGCCAGGTGACAAGAGTTGCAGACACAAATTGCATGTGGCTAGGGCTCTAAAACCTGGGGTGGCACTGTGGGAGGAACACCACTTCATAAATGTCACTCCTGTGCTCCCAGCAGGAGGCCACACATGAGGGCAGGCATCCACTGTGAAGTCATACCGAACTTCGGGATACATCTTGCTGGGTTTAGTTTAAATATAGCCTTCTTGATTGGTCCCCTTGGGTGGGATTTGAAAGACATTTAGTCCCACCCAACCCAATTATCTGACTTTTCTCAGGCCTCAGTCTGGGACTTGGTTACCTTAGCAACCTTATATACAGTATCCAATCCATGGTCATAATTGTGGTTTAATTTAAAGCAAGTATCAGTTAGTCCAAGAAACTGGCCCTCCTCTGATCACAGCAGCTACAGTTAAGATTCTTCCTTCCTGTCACATGAGAAGGGAGAATTTTTCTATTATGGACCTGGGTAATAGAAATGGACCTGCCAAGGCCTGAGCATCTGAATGATTTTATGTGGTTGAGGTCTCCCCTCAGCTAGGGGTACCCACTGATCTGCCAGTCCCTGAATCACGTGTCTCCACTTCTGCCCTGGCATCCTGAAAAAAAGAAAAACTGGTTAACAGCTCACTAGCCAAATATTCTACAGCAGGATTCAGCAAACCATAGCCTGTGGGCTGAGTCGGTTTTTGTAAATATTGTTTTATTGGCATACGGGGCTGGGAAGATTGTTTAATGGTGAAGTCCTTGCCACACAAGCATGAGGAATGCAG